GCACTGGTTTTCCAGCATATCTTCATAGACATCCACAAGAAAGGCAATTAGGTAGGGGGAACTATGACTGGGTTGTAAATCAAGTAATTGACTTAATAAGTTGGGATATTTGGAAAGACCACGATCCTGCAAAATCCTAAAAACAAAAAATTTTGAGAGGAAGAACAGTAAAAAGACCAAGAGAAGTAAACCTTGAAATACAAACTTACAGAAAAGGAAACTGATTTTGAATGACGGAAAAAAATGAAAATTAACTTATGTAAGCTTTATCGTGATCATAAAGAACTGAGTAAAATTAGTTTAAAAAACTATGAAGGAAAAAAATAATAAAAAAATTAAAAATTTAAAAAAAAAACCATGAAGGTTTTTTAAACTAGTAATTTGTAACTTTAAGGTTTTTTAAAGTAGTAGAGTTTGTAACTTAAACTGTGCAACTGTGCAACAGAAAATTACAAGAGAAAATGTATCATATTCTCTCTGCCCCCTCCCTCCCTCTTCCTTTCTAAACTCAGACTTCTTTGCACTGAGCTACATGCCCAGGCCTTTTTATAACTTTTTTTTTTTTTCTTTTTCTTTTTTTTTTTTTTTAATTTGAGACAAGGTCTTACCAAAATGCCTGGGCTGGGCTCAAACTTGTGTCTCTGCCTCCCAGAATACTGGCATCATGGGCTTGCACCACCATGTTCAGTGTAAATCATTCCCTTAAAATTGAACCAAGCCCTGATCAACTCCAAACATGACTGGGCTCCACACTACTCTTTAAATCTGCTTCCTTGAAGGCCTAAGTTCAACAAGGGGAGCCTGACTATGTCATTGGCCAAGCAGTGACACCTTTCTGCTTAAGTCATAAGACTTGTTAACTGGAAGTCTCTCTCCACAGTCTGCTTCACTGTATCCCTAAGCTGGGCAGATTAAGAATATATTACTGTTCACTCATATGCTGTTCTAAAAACTGTGCTAATATGTGCTCCACAAGTGGAAAGTGGCTAGACACAAGGTACAGTTTGTACAAAATATCACAGCCCTGTTACATCTCTGCTTAGAGCTTGAAACATGAAAAATTCTTTAGTATTCCTTTAAGTCTGACCATGGAACACATTCCATGATGCATGTATTAGCAGGTTTTTGTTTTTTGACATAAAACCAGAAAACAACCTCTTACCCTTTCAAGTAATTCCATGCACTTTCATTATGTGGTACAAGTTTTATCATTTGCAGAGTATACCTGGAAGAAAAAGAAAACCACAAGTGATTGTTTATAATCTTCAAGGCACAATGCAATGACTAGATAATAGTTTTAATAATACTGTAGCACAGCCTGGACACCTGCTTTCTCATATTTGTCGCCATATTCACCTGTCAACAGACTTCAGTACCTCGCCAGTTCATAACTAAATTAGAGAATCCGCAAGTTAGCAGCTGGTCATGTCTTCTATTTCTTGATGAATTCTGGGGACTTGTATCCTATCACCATAATGTCTCCCTCCTGTATATGTGCACATGCCTGTAATCCCAGCACCTGGGAAACTGAGGCAGAAGAATCACTGTAAGGTCAAGCCCAGAAGGGGCTACATAGTGAGTTCAAAGTGTGAATTTGAGGCCAGCACGAGTTACATACTGAGTTCAAGGCATAATTCCAAGGCCAGCATGGGCTACATAGTGAGTTTAAGGCCAGACTGTACTATGTGACTAAGACCCCCCCCATCTCAGAAAAAAAGTGGTACTAACAGACAATGTACTCACATAGAAATATTACCATAATACATTAAATGTAAAAAGTAATGTCTATAACAATTATTTGGTCTGCAGCATATAAATGTTGGCAAATATGTCTATAAAGCTTGGAAGGATGCACATAATTATAACTCTAAGGATTAGAAGAATGGAAAATAAGAAATTTTTAACTTCTACTTTATAGGATACAGAATAGTTTTCCCTCATCACTACATTGTATTATTTGTAAAATAAAGATAAAAACTTGCAGAACCCAGGTCTAGGGATGTACTCAGCGGCCCGGGGTCACCCAATATGTGTGAGGCCCTTTGGGGTTTGACCCCAAAACTAGGGGAAACACTGAGGGACACAACTGAGGAAGACAAGTAGAGATTTCTTTTCAAAACACATAGGGGCTAGGCACATAGGCCAATGGTAAAGGCTATGCTTAGCATATGTGCAGCCCTGGGTTCAATCCCCACTACTAAAAAAACAATCACCAGAGCCCCACATACAGGACAGGTGCCTCAACACAAGCAAAGTGAGAGCAAGACATGGAGCACAATGCACCCTAAAATCAGCCCTTCCCAGCAGCAATAAAACAATTGTACCTGCTCTAACCATGTCTCTAAAACAACAGGCTTATTTAAATTGTGAAACAGACAAGAGACAAAATGGACATGTAAGGTCAGGAAAAACTGAACGCTGCTAAACATGATGGTACATGTCTGTAATCCCAGCACTCTAAGGGGTTTAGGCAGGATAATCAGAAGTTAAACCCTAGCTAGGAAAACTTACTGAGACCCTCTCTCAAAAAGAAGAAACAATTTCTAATGCTTATGCATACCATACAGAAACTTATGCCAATTCAGAAATTTCTAGTTCACAGAACAGCTTTTGGTAGCGTCTCTCAACCAGGGGTGACTCTGTCCCAAAAGGGGCATTTGGAAATGTACAGAAACTTTTTAGCAGCACTGGGGACTGGGTTCCATGCCTAGCCCTTCACACTTACTTTATTTTGAGACAAGGTCTCACTAGTTGTTGCCAAGTGCTAGGCTTGAATTAGTAATCCTCCTGCCTTGGCCTCCCAGGGTACTAGAATTACTACAGGTGTGCATCACTATACTGGCTTGCAAAGATTTCTTTTTAATAGCACAAGAGCTGTTAACACCATAAAGGACACATAGCAGTTCTTACCACAGCCTGCCAACCCAATCATACACTAGAGCCACACTAATGGCACGTGAGAACCATTATCCAAAATGCAACAGAACTGAACGAGACATTTAAAATAAGACTTCCTGGACACTAAAAAAAAATCTGCTCTTTTTTGTTTGCTTTTTGAAACAGGGGTTCCCTCTGTAGTTCAGGCTGCTCTTAAACTCTCTAAGTATTCAGGCTGGCCTTGAACTCGTGGTGATGCTCCTGCTTCATCCTCCTGAGTGTTGAGATTACAGTCATGTGCCACCATGCCCAGCATGAAATCCACTTTCTTTCTGACCCTTGGCAGCAACAATATTTTAAAAAACTTTGACACTACAATGTAAAGGTATGTCCTGTTATCTATAAATTTATCATTCTATGTTTTATCTCTGTATTCTGTCCTATTTTAGTTCAACTGGGAGAATCTGTAACAGTCTAATCTCTGCCCCAAAGCCAGAGGGATGTAGGCATGAAAATTTTTAATGAGTAGGCAAGAGAAGGATAATACTAACTGGACTTCTCTCTCCAATACAGCATGACCATTGTATCCAGTAGTGTTAGAAATCACAAAGTATCTTTGGTTCCATGCGGAGTTATTTCTCACATCCTCCTTGAGCAGTTGGTCTACATATTGCAATTCATTATCCCAAAGTCTAAATTCCTAAAAGGAAGTTTAACAGAAAAATCCAGTTAAAAACGTCCTATCTATGAGCAGTAACAATAAATTAAGCATCAGCAAAGCTAAGAAGGTCAAACTGAAGATAAAAGGAATTATTACTTATTTGGAAAGAAGAAATAGCTATAGAAGAAGGATAAGACATACACACAGAAGATATATACAGAAAGAATGAATGAAGTCATCAAAGAAAAGTTAGAGACAAACACCAAAAACTAGTGAGAAAATATCAGTATATCAACAGTATGTAAATTTGATGGGATTTGATAGTAACACATAACATTAAGTAAAATAGTAACATTAAAAATCCATGCACATGATAAAATTACCTTAAAATTTGAGAAATATATACAAATTTTTACAAATTTTCATATTATAAAGCTATTTTAATAAAAAAATCTTTTTTTTTTTTTTTTTTGTATTTTAGAGAAGGGTTTACAGGGTGTTCAGGGTCTCACCACTAGATCGGCTTGTAGTGATCCACCTGTTTACAGCCTCCCAAGAGCTGGGATTACAGGCGCGCGCCACCATGCCCAGTCTCAATTGCTGTATCAGCATGGCAGGCCCAGGGATTGAACCCCTGGCCCCTGCGCCTACCTGCAGGTGCTTTAATCTGTTGAGGTATTTGGCTGGCCCTTATAAAAAAATCTTACGCGGGAGAATAGCCAAAACTTATAAATGTAAAATTTGGGCATTGTGGAAAAGCTGGAGTTGTACTTATTTGTTAACAGCAATGGTTGGAATTTTAGTAATAATCCTTGATTTTACAACTAGTAATAAAGTATACAAAGGAAGAAAGAAAATATTTAAGCGAGGTGTGGTTTCACATGCTCATAATCTACAGGAATGCAAATCAAGTACTAACTGGGTAACTTAGCAAATTCCTGTCTCAAAATAAAAAGAGCTGAGAATACAGCTCAGTGTAAAGGTCCTGTATGCAACTCCCAGTAAAGGAGGGGAGGGGAAGAAAAGGGAAGGAAAGGAGGAGGAGGGCAAAGGATAGGGAGGGGAGGGTGGAAGTGAAAGGGGAGGGAAAGGGAAGGGGAAAGGAAAGGAAAGGAAAGGAAAGGAAAGGAAAGGAAAGGAAAGGAAAGGAAAAAAAGAAAGAGGAAAGGGGAAAGGAATGGAGAAAGGAAAAAGGAAAAAGGAAAAGATTTTCTGAAAACCCCTCCGCTGGTGAGCAGCACAGTTCCATGCTAATAGGTTCTCACACTTTTGGAATTGTGATGATGCCACACCTTTCAAGCTTTCAATGATACAGAGCCTGGTGAGGCACGCGTGCCATGGGTTTGCCACCACTGCTCTAGAGCAACATGCTAAATGCAGAATGACAGAAGAAAGGTGTAGAAGCTTTGTTACAGTTTAACAATTTTATGTCTGCTGAATCAGCAGAAATTTGGATCCAGGCAAAATTAGGCATCTTGTATAGGCACTCCTTATTTAACCACCAAGCACCATTCCCAACACTACGTCTGGAGGGATTAACTGGACTGGAGGGATTGCATGTAGCATGTACGTTATAATACTCAGAACAAAGAAACAGTCAAAGGAAACTCCAACTTGATATCTTTGATTCCATTTGCATAACTCTTATGTGCAGTACTGTAACGTATAACATAAAACTATAGTACTGTTGAAGCAAAGTATACTGCACCAAAAAAGACTGACGCTCTATAGACAAATGTATAGAACTGTACAAATATAAAAAGGTCGTAAACCTGACCACACCTCAGTCATTTAAGACCGAACAGTTGTTAAACACACACATCATTAAGGGAGGAATACCTGTATGTGCTATGGGTTTTTTCAGACTCAAAGTTACAAAAATAAAATATTCTGCATACCCTTCCCTTAGTTTTCCCCAAACAGTATTATCTTACTAACGGAAGCCTACTCCCCACGTGGGAAATTACACTGATATATTATTCTTAATCAAAAAGAGACCTCATTCAGATTTCATATGTATTCATTTGTTTGTATGTGGCAAGGAAGCTGGGACTCATGTGGGTGAATTCAGTTGTAGGAATTCTCCCCCATATATAGTTTGAGCACTACTACAATCAAGATATAGAACTGCTCCCTCACACACAGAAGCTGCCCCATGCTCTCCTTTTGTAGTTACACCTCCCTATTCTCTAATCCCTATTAGCCACTGTTGCCTGTACAATTTCAGTACAGGTATAAGTGGCACATGCAGCAGCATGAGCACCTTCCTGGCAAGCCCAAAATCCTGTGTTCAATCCCCGGTACAAAAAAAAAAAAAAAAAAAAAGTGAGTTCAAGGTCAGCCTGAACTGCAAAGCAAAACTATGTCTCAAAAAGACAAAACAAAGCAAAACATCTACTGTACCCTGGTCATCCTTCAGTAAAAACTTATTTCCTTCATGTAACTTTTTTTTTTTTGTATTTTTTGGGAAGGGTCTACATACAGGGTGTTCAGGGTCTCACTACTAGATTGGACTTGTAGTGATCTGCCTGTTTACAGCCTCCCAAGAGCTGGGATTATAGGCGTGCGCCACCATGCCTGGGGATTGAACCCCCGGTCCCTGCTCCTGCTTGTAGACACTTTAATTCGCTGAGCTATTTGGCTAGCCTTCCTTCATGTAACTTCTGTCCACTACCCTATAAATAAAACAAGCTCTCTATAATCACTTCAGACTTTGGAGATTACTCCCCTGGCATCAACAGAATTTCCTTTCTTCTCCTGAGCTTCTGGCAACTGTTAATTCAATTTTCCGCCCAACACTATACTCCTTTTACTGCTGAGTTTTATTTTGCATATATTTATTTCACTGTTAGTTTTTATATACATTACACAAACAGGATACATGTAAAATACTTCTACTCTGTTTTGGGATTGGAAGAAATAAGAGTTTTCAACTCCTTTACTTAGAAGCATTAGTACAGTTAACTTCAAGTATGACTATCAAACAACACAGGCTAGGCATTTATATAGGTTTGAAGGCCTGGGCTTAAACCCCAGTATCACAAAAATCAGAGCAAAAGCCCTAAAATTTGCTAGGTGTGGTGGTACACAATCTATAATCCTAGCACTCAGGAGGCTGAAGCAAGAGAAGTGCCATTAATTCAAGGCTAGCCTGCGCTACACTGTGAGTGCAAAGCCAGCCTAAACTATATAGTGAGACTGTCTTTTAAAAAAATAATAAAAAAACAAAGCCTTAAAATCCTAGCTAAGCCTTTAGGTCCAGCACTCTGGGGGAACTGGACAGGAAAATCAGAGGTGCAACTCCGTGCAACTCTAGTCTCATAACAAAAAATAAAATGAGGGGCTGGTGAGATGGCTCAGTGGTCTAAAGCACCTACTTAGAACAAGCTTAGCAAAGCAAAAGCACAGGGACCATGGTTCAATCCCCCAGCACCACATGCCAGCCAGCCCCGCCCCCTCGTGGGCTGAGCTGGCCACACACACAAACACACACACACACACACACACAAATTTTTTAAAAAAATAAAAAATAAAATGAGGGTGGTTAGTTCAGATGCTCTCGGTTCAATCCCTAGTACTGGAAAAAAAAAAACACTAAAATTCACTACAATCTAAAAATATTTTTAAAGAGCTGTTCCACTTTTAGACCTATTTTAAGTGATCAAAGAATATAATGAACTCCTGAAATCCTCACTGAAATACTTACAAATGGCTTTCCATGTAGAAAAAAATGCAAGAATTTCTCAGCCTCAGAACTGCTGACAGTCTGGACAGATGATTCTTTGTTCTGGGGCTGTCACGTCCATTCTAGAATGCTTATTTGGCAGTATCCCCATCCTCTATCCCTAGATTCCAGGAGCTACCCCCTGCCCCCTGCCTCCTGCAATGTGCCTATTTGAAACTGCCACCACACACTGCTAAATGTCAGCAGTCACACCACTGCTTGAAAAGCACTGGCAAGCACGGATTTAAGAATGTATATGCATCTCACTTCCCACTCTGGGATAAGTTATTGTTTTCCTTTTTATTTAGCAGATGAACACAAAGAGATTCTCTATGGTTTTAGCTTTCAAAATTCACTTGTACATGATTACAGCTGAAATCAGCACCCCTCCAGGACAGAGTTTAAACCAAGGGCCTCACACTGAGCAACAACCCCAGTCTTCTGGAGTTGGGCTGGGTTTTGTTTTGAGACAGAATCTTGCTATGTAGTCCAGACTGGCCTTAAGCTCTGGTGATCCTCTTGCCTCAGTCTTTAGTTTGAGACAACATCTTGCTAAGCTGCTAAGTTGCCCAAGCTGGGCTGAAGTTTTTGATCCTTCTATCTCAGTCTCCCAGAGTGCTTGGAGTTACAGGCATAGACCACCACACCTAGATGACATAAATTTTGTATTTCAAAAAGTATGCTGGAAACATGAAACCATAACAACACAAGTAAAATCAAGGGAGAAATTATGTAAACTTTACTTATAGAAACTTATAAGCTGCACCGTTAAGTAAAGGCTATTTTAGCATCTTGTTTCATGGGAATTTTATAATTTCAATAAGAAACAATGAGTAAGGTAACTCTTCAAACATTGGTACTGATAGACCCAGAGCACAGGCCGGGCGAGTGAGTGAGACGACCCAGGCCGCGGGGTCCTGAACAGACCCAGAGCACTGGCCCCGCGAGTGAGTGAGAAGACCGAGGGCCGCGAGATGCTGAACAGACCCAGAAAGCAGGCCCGGTGAGTGAGTGAGAAGACCCAGGGCCGCGGGATCCTGAATAGACCCAGAGCGCAGGCCCAGCGAGTGAGTGAGACGACCCAGGGCCTGGCAGGATCCTGAACAGACCCAGAGCACAGGCCCGGCGAGTGAGTGAGACAACCCAGGCCCCGGGATCCTGAATACACCCAGAGCACAGGCCCGGCAAGTGAGTGAGACAACTGAGGGCCGCGGGATCCTGAATAGACCCAGAGCGCATGTCCGGGAAGTGAGTGAGACAACCCGGGGCCGGGGATCCTCATTGGACCCAGGCTGCAGGCCCAGCAGGGAACCCTTCAGCAGAACTCCCTACATAGAGGCTAGTGGCAAGACCCACCCAGCTGATTCAGGAGCAGAACATCTTGACAAAGAGACACAAAGGGTTCAACTCTAACGGCTGCAGCAGAAAAAAGTGGAGCACAGCAGCCAGATCCAAGCAACACCCACCTGGAGGAATCGGAACTTCCTAGATCCGGACCTGGTACTAAGGTAATAACTCTATCCAAGCTCTTCACCAAAGGTCAGAAGACAGTGGTATACAAAATGACAAAGAGAAGGAACAAAATGCAGTCTCAGGCCCCAAGTCCACCCAGTACAACTGCAGAAGACACTAGCACTGAGGAGACTGGAAATCACACGGCTGATATCTCGGAAATAATAGCCTTGACAGTAAAGAATCAAC